AGCTCTTTTAGAAAACTTAAGGTGAAGTTTATCAAAATTTGAGTTTCCCAACGTTGTAGTTGGGTACTGTAAGAGTACTCTCAGGAGTTGCAAATCTTGCGTCCAAATGCGACTGCTCAATTGCTTTCAGTTTCCCAGATGTGACGTTTCTTAATTCATTACAAACTTAGATATTAAAAAAATGTCATAAATTTTTATGGTTTTTCAAAATTTGAATTAAAAAAAAACGAATGAAAAACTTTACAAAATTTGCAGCTACTCTCAGGAGTTGCAATCTTGCTTCCAATTGCGACTGCAAAGAACTTTTATAAAACTTCACGAAACTTTATGGTTCTTCAAAATTTGTTTAAAAAACTGGATTAAAAAACTTTGCAAAATTTTTAATAATGAACCCTGTAATTGGGTGCTGTCAGAGTACACTCGAAGAATTTTTTTTGCTGTTGTTAAAAATTCGAAGCACCGGAGGTGCAGTACACGCTAGTTCTAAATTAAAGATGTCAATCATAATTGGAAATTTCTCAAAATTGCTTTAAAAACCATCTATTTTCTTTGAAATTCAAAATTTGGATCTCGGTTCTAGTCTCAGCTGGATCTTGTTAAGTGGGCATGAAATTGAGTTTTTTTGCAGGACCAATTGAGTCGTCTGACCTTTGCTTGTTTGCGCAAGTTTATCGGCCCTTGTTCCGAAGAAGGGTTTTTCGTCGGATATATACAATTCTGTTTTTAGAAATGACGATCATCGCTCCCCATGTGTTATGTAATTATACCAACTTGGGTTTTGATTAAGTTTTTTTTGTTCCGATCAATGAAATTGGGGAGGAATTTTGTATTCGGGTGTTTTAGTTATTTTCAACGCAAAATTAGATACCACAATTAATTGTCGGATTAGGTCGAGTGATATGTAAATTTGAAGCCCCTTCAGTCTTGATTAGAACGGAACGGAACGACTTTAACAATTTGTGGAAAAATTGCCCTGGGAGGAAAGGGTTTAAAAGTTTTGAGATTTAGTTTAATTTTGAGCGAGTAACGCGATCGAGTAACGTTCATCTTATGAAATAATAAAACTTGGTGGAAATAGTTTAGTTTTAATTAAGCCAGTTTTTTTTTTTAGGTTTCTGCAATTTTGTTTGAAATCCTTTCAAGTTGATGGTTACCTGAAAAAGAACATCTTATCTCTTGCTGCTAAAAACCGTAAACTCAATGCGTACGTAGGATATGTATTAATTGCATCATTACATTGGATATGCTTGGTTCGCGAACAAAACTGAAAGTAAACAAATAGAACGTTTCATAGAAAAGCAACTATCTGGATAAATGGCAATTTGGATAAGAGCTAAAAACAAATAAACCATCAGATACAGGTACCATACCTAATTCTAGAAGTTGCGCCCCCCTTCAGTACCAGAGAACTGTGATCGAAGGAACTGTTCACCGGGTTTTCCGCTGGACAACAACATGGGAAGTTTATGATAAAGCGATGGAAATCGACCGTAAACATTGGTTGGATAATCAATATCCGAAAAAATTGATCGTCTTAGGTTGTATCGCAAGCCCTTGACAAGATCATCAGGGAGGGCAAAAACAAAAAGAAGATGGTTGAGAAAAAGAAGCGCTGTGATTATAGCAGAAATTCACCACCCATCTTGATAGTTCAAAATTGGGGGAATCGCAGTCAGACATTAGCAAAAAAATTGCTGTACAGACTTGAGTGTTGTGTGTACAGTGGTGTACAGACTTAAATGTTGTGTGTGCAAATTCATCTATCTTGGCCAGGCGGTACGACATTTCACTACAAGGATTGAGGAACACCGAAAAGAGGATACCCCAGTTGGACAGGATATATGGCAGTGTGGCAGCGACGATTTGAGAAGTAGGGAGCAGACAATAAGTCTCCAGTTCCAGAATCGAAAAATTTCGGCTAAAACAAAAAATTGTGAATTAACTTACATATTAGCATGAAATTAGCGACAAAATGAAATTATAAAAACAAAAAAGGTGTAAAGTCTCAGTAATTGGTGACTAAATGAATGAAATTGTTACATAATTTTAGTAATAATTGTGAAGTTATGATCGGTTAAGTTTATAAGTTTTGAAAAAATGATGTGTATGACACTTTATACAATCTTTGATCGTTTTGTACAGATAGTTTAGGTTTTTAAAAACTGAAGATGCTCAAAAATGTGCGAAAACGTTCGTTTGGATTTACAATTTTTAACGCATTCCCATTTAAACAAAGACTAACTGAGTTGAGATTGCTTCCATTATCGTATTACTTTAAACTACATGATCTGTTAGTGCTAGTATCAATGTTGAAAGGCAGCTACAACATCAAACTAACGACAAAATTGAATAAGAAACCCAATGACGATCTTTTATTAACAAAACAAAATGATCTAACATCGATATCAAAAACTCGAACAAGAAAGGCTGACAAAAATGTTTAATAAAACAACCATTCTTTTATTGAATATAATACGAAAAAAAAAGGAAATATCGACCTCGAACAAATTAACAAACCATACCTAACAAAATTATACGGGGTTACTTCTACAAAGAATACTCTGAAGTCAACTTAAGTTTCTGGTCTTTTATATGCAACTCTGGACATTGCAACCCGGTGCAGAAAGTCAGCTCAGCCACCAATTGGCGGTTGCAAACCTTTGTGTGAAACACAGAAGCTTAAGTTCTTTCTCTTTTTCGAGACAATTCATTCAGTGGATTCTCTGTTGAACAATCTGGTGAGTATTTGTCAATGAACTTACCAGAACTTGCCGCTACTGTCTCGCGCTACCCCTCGCAGAAACTCAACTGTGTTGCTATAGTAGCTGGCTGTAGTGATAACTCATCTACGGTTTCAGACTTTGCTAATGATTGGAGATTTTTCATAAAATTGGTAATTCGTAAGCTTAACCCAAATGTGCTTGTTATCCCCGAAACCATCCTCTCTGCAAAAAATCACTTCATAAACAGAAAATTTGGTGCTCTCAATAATTCTTTCTTTCGCCATTAGAAACACATTTTACCACTCAAGAATCCGAATTTTTTCCCCCAATCTAAACGCCAATTTTAATGCTACTATAATTTGTAAGGATGGTATTCATTTTTGTTTCTATAACAAGAAAATTTTCAGTTTATTGTTCGCTCAGCTAAATTGTTTATTTTCGCTGCCAAATTATGGCCAATCAAACGCACTGCTATTTGAGACCGCTACCTCCGAAAAAAAAGTATATGGTGTGTAATTTGCAAAGCATACAGCCATGCCTCATGTAGCAGACTACAGAGCAGCAAATCTTATTATGATGGGTTTTCCTGCATACAACGCATCACCAAGAACTTTGCAAAAGGGTCCAACTCCACCAACAGGCCAACAAGCCCAGCTCCTTCACAACTCAAGAAGAAATATGACCGGTAACACCCAAAACAAACGTACTGCCCAACGCAACACAATCTAAACTAGCGCCCCCAGCAATGACTGCAGCCCCCTTGGACCCCTGGAAAGCTATTCGGTTAACTGAAACCAAGAACTTGAAATTAAAATATACGACATATTTAAAAATTTCGCTATCTGGAAACCGCGCTTCCTAGTTCTAAGCAAGAAGAAGCCCGGTTTGCAGTTCATAGAAATAGTGAACCAGCAGCTGTAGTCATTAGTAGAAGTAACAACAAATTCTAACGTCGCAATGAAAGCAGCAATGATTCTTTCTCATCTGCTGCTCCCCAAAACTAAATCAGAAACCAACGGATCAAATTCCAAAACTCTGAGCCGCCGCATAATTTTATGGAAGCAAAGCCTACTAGACAAAATTTCAGAGAAGCAAAAGCTCTCCAAATTTGGCGTTCAAATCAGAAAACAAGGAAGTCAAGCAATTCGATACACTAATTAGTACAGGCAAAAAATCTGCCGCGATTGGCTGCCTTTCAGACAAGAAAACAAAATGAGTACTTCACCTGAACAAAGTGAATGAAGGAAAAACAGTTCTTAGTATCCTGAAAGAAAAACATACCCGAGCCAAAACAGCGAGTACAAACTATATAACTGATGTAAGTGAAGACACAATGCCATACCACCCCTCTATATTCGAAAAAATAAGCGCAGAGACAGTTCGAAAATCAACCCTGAAAATGCACGAAAGCCACGGTCATTCAGGTCTAGATGCGTACAAAGGGAGAAAGATAGTAACTCACTTCAACCAGACATCCATTGAGCTATGCGAAACAATTGCAAAGCTATCCTATACAGTAGCAAGTAAAGTCCTTCCCCATGAAAAACTAATTGCGTACAACTCTTGTCGCTTGATACCTCTGGAAAAAAATCCCGGGGTACGGCTCATTGGTATAGACGAGGTTCTGAGAGCAAGATTTGGCAAAACAATCCCCTAATCTGTAAAACAGACTTTAAGAATCTCGGAAAAAATTCCAACTCTGCTTAGACCAGAAATGTGGAATCGAATTGCTATCCACAGCTTGAGGAACGAGTTTGAGAAACCGGAAACGGACGCCATACTACTTATTGATGCATAAAATGCCTTCAACTCGCTCAATGGAGAACTTGCTATGAAAATGTAGAAATTTTTTGTCCAGCGCTGCAACATGCGCTGGCCAACTCATATAAACATCCCTCAAGTTTATATGTCAATAACACGGTTTTGACATCTACCGAAGGCGACACAACGCAAAGTGATTCCATCGCAATGGCTATGTACGGAATGGCGATAATCCCACTGATTGAGCTCCTGCAGAAACCAAATGTCACCCAAAAATGGGACGCAGATGACGAAAGCGCTGCAGGTGATCTTAAGAGTCTCCGCGCAATACTGGACAAACTAGACGTGCACGGAAAGGCTTTCGGACACAAAGTGAAGCCTTCCGAGTGTCAACTCAATGTAAAGGAAAACCGACACCAAAAGCGCCATACAAGTTTTCGAAGGCACAAATATTACTTTGGTAGACGGTTTTAGAGTCCTTGGATAGTATATAGGAATACCATTAGCATGCGATAATTACATGGAAAGCGAAGTTGAAAACACAGCTACCATAACTGAAAAGCTTTCCAAAACAGCTAAAACATCACCACAAAATGCATACACAAAAGGAGTTGAAAAAGAATTAAGCTTTCTAACCATTTCAGCATTTAAGAAAATGGATGAAATTGAGAAAATTGTCAGCAGCACTGTCCCAAAGGTGGATACACTCACCTAATAACAATGAAATTCGCAATACCTTTGCGACACTCCTGGACAAAGTATGCCATGATGTTGAAATAGAGCCGAAACTTCAATCGTTGGAAGGCGAAAGCTTTCTCAATGAAACAACCACTACTGAAGATGACGCTCGACTTGACATCAAGGCAAATGGACTCTGGAGAGACCGATTCAGCCGAACCTTTCGATGTAAAAACTTTCAACCCACAAGCTAAATCGTGCCCTAAAACTTTATCTGACGCCTACAAATATCGTGAGAGTATCAAAACGTTAAAATTCAAACAACGAAGAACTCTGGATGTGGACACAGTGGCTTTATTGCGCCAATTTTGGCGTGCACCGGAGGAGCAGCACAAGGCTCTACAAAAACCCAGGGAATTCAATACCGAACTGAATCATCAATACCGATACCAACACCAAATTCAAACTCAGTCAATACCTCAATACTTTGATACAATACCTCAAAACTTTTGAAAAAACTTTGAAAACTCGTGTTAGCCAAAATCACGAAACGTTTGAAACACGAAACATTTTGGATCGAAATGTCTTGCATGAGTTCCTTTAATTTTCTTTTTTTTGTATATATGTACAACGAACGTAATGAATTCAATACTATTTTTAGTAAGCTTTTTTGTTCAAATCGAGACGATTTGAGACAATTCACAACACCAAGAACCTGGTAGTGGTATTGACAGAATCAGGTATTGGTATTGATCACTACCAATACCAAAACCAAGAACCTGGTATTTTTCCTTACCAATACCTGATTCTGTCAATACCACTACCAGTTTTTTCGCGGTACTAAATTCCCTGCAAAAACCATCCAGAAACTAGCAAAGAAACTAAGCGAAAAACTGAACGAATCATACTCGGTCCCAATAAAATTTATAAGAACAAAAATAAGTTTTGCACTTCTGAGGAGTGCAATCCTCTGCCTTAGGGGATGCAAAAAACTTAAAAATTTATCCAACATAGACTATTCTATCTGTGATGTAATCGAGGAGAGTAGATTTTAATTGACAATTTTCTGCATGCTTTAAAAACGACGCGATTAATTCATGATTTTGCCGATATATATATAGCGTTGGTACGGCCCTATCCAACCTGCGCACGTACCGTCGCATGACGGAAGGGCCCATTTTAATTGACTTTAAAAAAAACAATGATTTTAGTGAAGGTTATTATACAATAAGAGTTGACTTTAAGTGCGCAATTCATCATCACTGCTAAAAGCACAGAAATTTGTGATCTGCAATAACGAATACCTTCTAGTTTTAAACGTTGATTTTGTTAGATTTTCTAGCTGTTGATCTAGTTTTATAAATTGTGTTAATCTATTATATATTTGAATGCAGGCTTCACTATCTCCCCATGTTTAAGCTTTTTCAACGTTTTATTTTTGCATGTTTAACAGAGTTTTTTTCACGTTTAAGCTATATTGTATATTGCAATGGTTAAGGTTTTTTTTCAATTCTCTAGTTTAAATTCAGTGTTTATTTCATCAAGTTTGAAACTAGCAACCCAATAGTAGGATACTGTCAGAAATTTCCCAGGTTTTGCAATTCTAATAACCAAATCCTGTTAGTTTACGAGATAGGCAATTTTCGAGATTGTTCAAAAATTTCTAGAAAATTTAATTTTAATAAATTTCTCAATTCCTGTAGTTCGGTGCTGTCAGGGTACTCTCAGGGGTTTGGAATCTTGCCTCCAATTTTCACTTCTCAAATCCTTGTAGTTTTCGAGAAATGACGGTTTTTCTGATTTTTTCAAAAAATTTCAAAAAAAACTTAAATGTTAAAAATTGTGCCATTCTGCCGGATGACACAGCACAACCTTCCCGCGACCGAAAAAAAAGTGACTAAAGGCCTTATGAACAAAAAAGTGTTGCGACGGAGGGTCAGAATGTTCTGGAATTTTTATTTTTAAAATTTCGATCGGAAGAAGAACATTTCTGAGAAATAGAAAAAAGACGGCCATTTTGAATAAAAAAGACGAAAATCAGAACCACGATATAGATTGTGAAGAACAGTTGTATCAGAGACAGAAAAACACTGAGCCTCTTATCGTGGCAAGAACACACGATAAGGACCTTAGCGACAGATATTTGTGGAGACGGAGGCTTCAGTGGGGGGAAGAGAAATACCACGGAACCCTCCCGGGACACGAAATATAGGAGATAAGAGTGTTATCTCAAGAAAATCACGGGAGCGGAGGCTTGGTCCCCCAGAGACTGTTATATGTGGAGGGACTGGGTAAACTGACTATAACAGCTGCTGTAATGTCCTAGATCTTAATTAACACCGTTATTATTTAATATTTCAGAGCATGAGTAGATAGAAAAAGGAAAGGGTCAATCCATCTCCAATGGGTTTAATATAAAACTGTCGCACAAAAACATATAGAAATAGGTGGTTCGAGCCGTGTTTTTAATGACAATCACGTAGTCTGAGGATCCGAGACTCAGCTATGTGGTTGTGTTCGCATGCAAACGAAAGCTGATCAAAAGTCGTTTGACTGATGGCCTAAAAATGGTAACTTTTTACTTTGCCCTAGACAGACCAGAAAATCAACTGGCAAGGTCGAGACGGTGAAAAACGAGTAGAATTAAGGTAACTGACGCCTGCCAGTCGTTAATAGGTACTTTTTCTACGCTCCGTCGCTGTGTGATATTTGGGCGAATGTTACATAGACGTTTTTATGGCGCTCCTGGGTGGGCCTGTTAAAGGCATGAAACCATCATGATCAGCAAGCGTTTCCGCGACGTACCCTCCGCTCCGGGCGTAAGCCCGAGTTAGAGGCCTTAATGACCGTTGTTGTACTAGGGGGAAGGTGCGTACCCTCCGTCTAGTGCAATTTAGCTTTTTAACTTAGTTAACACCGAAAATTCCGGGGGCCGGAGGGTTAGGTGGGAAATCTAGAGCTCGCTTGTCCTGAGGTCCCAGGACCAAAAACAATTAAAGAGAAAGCGTAAAACCAAACAAAAATAGTGTATAACCAAGAAAAAGCCAAAAAAAAATTTAATTGAAAACAAAAAAGTACAAAAAACAGTAAAAAAAAAAAAAAATCCAAAAAAGACCAAAAACAGTAAAAAACATAAAGTGACAGTTTATATGTTATTTCCGGACGAGATGTGATCTGACCTTCCTATTTGTTGTTGTTTCAGATTGATTTATATCGTTTCTGATAGAAAGATTGTGTGTTTTGGTGAAGGGTTGGATACGCTCCCTCGAGTGTAATTTGAGTGTTTAAGCACGTTAATGGTGATTTTGCCGGTGACCGGAGGGTAGAGTGGCAAGCTGATCAACGTGTTCCACACTCAACAGGGACATCAAGGACAACATCCACAACGACTGTTGGGTATCGTTGGAGCAATTTTAGTATCGTTCGGGTACTATTTCATAAAAACTTAAGTGGTGGGGGGCACGATTGGCGCGGTCCGATTGTACCCTCCATCGATTACAAATTTCCGAGTTAAGGGTCTTAGTTCGGATATTTTGGTGCAAAGGAGGGTATAGTACTATTCATTAACGACTATTAATAGATTATTATCCTTATTATATATTACTTATCTCCTGTTTAGACCCAAAAAAACACCCATTTTTGGTCGAAAATTACCAATTTTCGACCAAACCGTAGACCCCCAAATTTTCGGATATCCGAGCTTTTCCGATAGGCAAAAAGCTTTTATATAGAGAGTAGCTACGTAGTTCGATCCCCTTCACTAAGGAAACCGCGTGAGCAAAGACTCAGTAGAAGTTAGGAAATCGAAAATTTTTCGACCAAAATTTTGATAATTTTCTGTATTTTGTCAATCTGTTTTGGGGATCGAGTTTTTGAGTTTTTAGAGTTAGAGCAATAAAATTTTTTGCGTTAGGAGCGTGCTAGCATAACGTGCTCGGTTACTAGAGAAATTTTTGGGTAACCCTCCGAGTAGCTCCGTGGATAGAGCTAACGACTTAAGGTTTGGAAAAGGAAGGAATCGGAGGGTCCAAATTTGATAGTTTTTGGCCAAATTTTTGTTTCTAAACCAATTTTGGTCCGGTTTTTTGCATTATTCCAGTGCCGTACAGGGCTACTACGCTCATTTCAAGTATTTTTAGGCACTTTCGACCGGAATTGCGAAAAAAGTCTTTCAGATCCTATACAGGTGGTGAAAAAGGCCATTTTGACGAACGCGTTTTTGGCGATTTCTCAAAGACTAGTTATCCGATTGGGATAATTTTGGTACCATAAGTCGACGTTTTTGACCACATTTCCGAATCGCAACCGTTTTTGGGTTGATTATTTCGGAAAAGAAAAATTTTTTAGAATTTGTTGGTTCGGAGGGTCCAAGTAACGGGCAACCCTCCGAGCGGCAGAAAATTTTATCAAAACATCTTTTTATTCAACTGGGAAGGTTGACCGTGTCAGCCAACCTAGTTTTAAGTCAGGTAGACCGCTTTCAGAGGCTTTACTGCGGTGATTTAACCCTTTTTCTTGATTTTGGGGGAACCCTCCGAAGTGACCCTCCGGAGTCAGCTAAACCCTTTAGCAACCCTCCTTAGTGGAAAATTTCCACGAGATCACCCTAAGAAGTTGAAACAGCTACCCCTAGAACCCTTAGCTTATTTTGACGCTTTTTGAAGCTAGTAGGAGAACCTTCCAAGTGAGATCGGAAAATTTGAAAATTTTGGAGGTACCCTCCGAAGTGACCCTCCGGAGCGTATTAAGCATCTTATTGACCCTCGTTAGTAAATTTAGGGGGACCCTCCGAAGTAACTTGGGTGATTAAGATACCCTCCTAAGTAACTTGAGTGATTGAGGTACCCTCCGAGGTAACCCTCCGGAGTGTCTTAAACCTTCTAGCGACCCTCCTTGT